CATCTCATTTTGAGTCGAGCGCTTTAACCCTTGACCCACCGCGGCTCATATTTTTAATGATGTGGGTAAGTTTCTAACTCTTGAAGAAGTTCGGGACTCCTGAAATTAAAGGGCATTGGGCCTGGTAGACCTTAACGATCATTACACCTTTCAAAAACCATATTTCATTTAGAAAATTTAATTCTGTGAGAAAGAAACTTCTTTTAATTCGGGAGCATGAAAGACTGAACGGTTTACCGCTCATTTTCTGCAAGAAAATATAATTGTAAAATTGGAATTTTATTCTGTAAATTAAGAATTCCCCCCCATCCAAAAAAATAAATAAATAAATAAATTAATAAAAAAATAATACAAGCTAGCGGCCTGCAAGGGTGCAAGAATTCTTTTCTTTTTTTTTATTTCCGAAAATATTTTTACAAGTGCTCGCTAGAAATTTTTTACAAGCAATTTCAACCTAAAGTTCAAATTTTTAACATTATTTGACTACAAAAAAGCCTTAAAAATCATGCTTCATTTAAACTCTTTTAATTAAATAGGGTCTTCTACATCTCAAATTCGCAAAAAAACTATCTTGATCAGTTTTTGCATTAAATTTGACAATTTGCTAAAAATTGAATGTAGCTTATGCTCTTAGGTGTAAATCGCGGTAGTTTCAATATGACACGCATTATTTTTATTTATTTAAAGTAAAAATTATAATATTAAGAACAAAACAAAATATTATATTTCTAGGGGGATGCAAATGCACCCTCTTAAACGCTATACTTGTGGACTCCCGCGGCAGTGCCCCCCCCCCCACACCCAACTACTTCCTGACTAGGCTGGAAATAAGGCATGATATTATCTCTTTAACAGTTATGATATCTAAAAACAAAACTAAAACTAACGGATATTAGAAAGAAAAACTAAAATTGTTATGACCTAGAATAGAGAAGTAACTTTCACTTTTTCGAGGAATCGAAAATCTCTTCCTCTTCTAGCAACAAGTTGTATAATTCTTCCCCAATGGCTTCTCTTCACGCAATGAATCTCTCATTGGCAGATAAAAGAAATTCATTCTAAGAAATAAATAAAACCCTCTGTTGCTTCGTTCACAAAATAATGATGTTTTATTAAACTTTAAATACAATGTTACCAATAAATATTTAAATAATACATTCATTAAAGGCTGATTTCACAACATTTGATTCGTGTTAACTATTTTAAGCACTTTAATATTAAAAACAGAAGAACAAAATGATGATATTGGCGTGTATTAAAGCGATTAACTATTTTTGTTGTACAGCTTTCATTTCGTCTCTTATCTACGACACGCATAGCCTATATATAAAAATTCGCTACTGTCGGTTGCTCATTGTTTTATTTCATTATAGGATATATATACAATAATTATTTATGTGTAGTATTTTTTTATTCGACAGTAAGCTCTCGATTTAACGATTACGAGAAGATCTCTATAACAGTTTTCAAAACCCCCGTCAAAATTATGATATTAAGGATACAAGAATTTTATAGTTGCAAATTACTACAGACTTCCGCTATTGCAATCTGTCTTTTATTTAAGGAATTTCTGCTGCTTATTTGAGAAATACTATACGAAAAAGGGTATTCTGGAAGGCATTTGTTTTTAATTTGATGGTATGAATGTAAACAATAACAAGCTTCCTAAACCGGAAGAAATTTATAAGACTTCCGGTGTATTCCTCCGCTTATGTAATGCTTACGAGGCGATGTGTGAACAGGCTTAATATTCGAGGAAGTTTTATTGTGATCTGTCTTTAAATTTATCCGTAGTTTTACCATTCAAAAGAGTTTTACGTAATTTTTAAATTCTAACAGGCCGTGAGCTCAAAACAAATTTAACAAAATTTACAACACTGCATAAACTAAAGGTAAGGTTAGCCATATTTTGAGTATTATCTCTTATTTGGCTATATTTGTGTAAAATAACACAATTGGTTATTTTTCGGATAGAATCATAACAAGCTTGTGGAGTCTTCCAAATTCATTTGTTGTTTGTTTCGTTTGAAGTTAGATTAAAAGAACGCGTTATATTTACCGCACATTTCAAGAGAATACGCCTTTTTGTGTGCGTTGACCACCTATTTACCATAACCCCTAATTTCTCTTCTTGACAAATTATTGTTAAAATAATTATTTAGTGTTATTAATAACCCCAGTAGTTTCTTTCATTTGATTCATTAATTCATTTATTCGTTTTTTTTTGTTTTTTTTATTTAACTATTTTAACATTAATTATGTATATTTGCTTATAATGACCAGCTTCCTGCAAAGACAATGTTAATCGCGTAATAACGGACTTTTACTATAATTTAAAATTAAAGCTACTGATTAAATGTCTTTGGTTCAAGATTTTTTATGCATATATAAAACATTTTATTCATGAAAATTGCCCATTTAACTTATATATTAAAAGGCAAGCTTTCCCTTTATTGTTTTACTAAGAGAGCGCCAAACTACGCGAGAAACTTTTCATCACAAATTCTATTTCAACTCCATAAGTATTTTAAAATTACAGGAATGATGAATTCAGGTAAACCCATGAAACCATGAAATTTCAAATATTGAAAAGAAATTTTCAAAATATCAAAGGGAAAACAAATTATGAACTTCAGATCACACAATGGAGAAGTTCTTTTCCAAATTTTTTTGAAATTTCTATTTCAGCAATTGAAATTTTATAGCATACTCTAAATTTACCTGTACTCACTTTTACTACACTTTAAAATTTAAAATTAGATATTGGGGTGAAAGAGAATTCGGAATTAAAAGTTCCTCCCGCGGTATAGCGTCCCTCTTAAATTTTATAACTGCTGCCCATCCACCGAATGAAGACGATGGACTTTCAGAGCTGACTTCGTGCAATCGTCTAACAGAATATATGAAAACAGACAAGAATATATGCCCGCTTGTTGACGTCATTAAACCTAAGACGCTGATTGGTTAAGGGAGAAAATACTTGGATGGAAAGTAGAGCATGCTCTACTATCGTCCAAGAAGTTGGACCAAGTTCTTGGATGCTTGTTTACACGATCCAAGCTCAAAGCAAAACAAGTTTCCATCAATATCAATCAATCTCTGTCCAAGAAATTGGATCGTCTAAACAGGCCTTAAGGAGCGAAGCTTTTCCCCATCTTCTATTGTTTATTTTATTTGGTTTCAGTATCTACATGATCTCTGTTTTAACTAATGGGCTCGCAAAATAATTTCTCTAATCGTCTTGGAGGACTGACAGATCTAGAAGCCTTAACATCTACCTAGACTTTCAATATTTTCTTTTCCAAAGGTCTATTACATGCTTTTCCAAGTAAAAGCGGTGTAAAAAAATAATCTTAAGCAATGTTAAATTAATGTAGCATAATAAATTTTAAATATAAAATCATAAAAGTCTGTTCAAGAGAAAAATCAGTGAAATTTTAGAAATATTAAAATCTGATAATTTTAATGCTGATTCCTTGGTATGAAATATTTATATGAACTGATTGGATATGCATACAATTAAGGCAAAGAAAAAAAAATGTACGTAAAAAACACACAGTTGCACGAAATAAATAATGGTATGGTTATCTTTCATGTGAAATAAAATCTTGGTACACCATAATTAAAAAAATAATAATTTTTCAAACAATGATCAGTAATAATTAAACTAAAGCTTGCGGGGACATTCAATCCTTATAAATGATCTTTCTTGTCTTATGCGTCCCCAAAATTTATGTCCCATTATTTAAACTTTTTTCTTTCTTTCTTATCTAAGGGATATCTTGAGATTAATAAAATCTATCGAAAATAGGGAGAAGAAAAAACTGAAGAAAAGATAAAGCGTGGATTTAATTTTTCAATAATAATAATTATTATAAGCAAATAAAGAAAAAAAAAACAGTACCTATTATTGAAATCTTAACATAAAATATAGATACGAAATGTTGAAATTAAATCCACACGCTACAAGATTTTATTTTTCTTCATCTAATGCGAAGAACTGAGACTTATAATTAATGCCGAAATTAAAGTTTGCAGGTATTAAAATTTTGAATTTAAATTTTTGTTTGTAGTTTTCATGTCATTCTAGATGCAAATTTTATTTAACCAATTAATTAAATAAATATTAAAAACTGGGTACCGGGATTTTAAAGTTAAATTGATGGGTTAATCTAAGCTCTTTAATTACACAGACGACGTTTGCCTCAAACTTTATATTGGAGAATTATGTAGCAGTAGTAGCTAAGCTATGAAGTAGATGAAAAACTCCAATAATTAGAAGGTAAATTTTTTTATAGGCAGATCAAAAATTTCTTTAAATTTATAATCTGAAATTTAAAGTTCACTGTTATGCAAGAAGTCATTAATTCCAGGTTATTATTCGTGAAATATTATAAATATTTCGGTAAATAAAAAAACGAAACAAAGAACATTAAAGTGACTATCTGCCTTAATGGTATAATTACTTAATTTACTTTCTACATATTAGTTAACTTTCCTAATCTTTAGGTGATAAGTTAAGTATTGTTTAGTCTTAAATTCATATCTATCCATTTTATATCATTTCACTGAAATAATAAAAAAATATTTCTTATTCAAAACTTTGAGTGTGAATACAGCAGTTGTTTGGTTATTCTTATTGTTTAGTTGGTTTTTGTTTTTTTGGTTTAATATTTCTAGAGCGTATTTTTAATTATATATCTATTTTTCTGAGCATTGTAATTGAAAAACAGAGCGGATATTTATTAGAAATAAAAAAATAAATAAATAAAAAAGTAATTGGTTGGTTTCAGTAATTCAAATACCTAATTCTTTTCAACATGGTTTTTATTTTAAGCATTTATCAAGATGTTCTCTTACTATCTTTCATTTGTTATTGTTTTACAGCTTGTTTGTGAATACAAATCAAAAGCTGAACGGTGATAAAGAATATCGATTTACTGCTACTGGCGTGCCTCAAAATTTCCGACCGAAGTCTGATTGAAAAACAACAGGAAGTTTCATTTCGTCAGTTGGCAACTCTTTTCATTCCTATCCAGCGAAGGGGCTGGGACACCGAAATGGTGCGGGTTCTACTCTTTTACACTCTTTATGGATTTGCAATATTTATATTTGGTGGTTGGTGTTTTGTCTGGATGTTACATTTAATCGCAATATTAAACGGGTAAGTAGAAATGATTGAAATATTTCTGTTTGTTTGAGATCTTCTTATAATACCCTACCGATCACTACTGTTTATACTCGACGCTGGGCATGCCGGTTGAGTGCTGATCGCACCGGCGTTGGATTGGGGTTACAAGGTTTGGATGTTTAAAAGGTAAAGCGCTTAGGCTTAACGCGAAGTGGGCGAGGTCCCTGTCAATCTAATTCAAGTGCATATGTACCCGATTCCACATTGTGAAAAAAATTATTAAAATAATCTTAACACTGATCCTTCGTGAATAGATGTATAATTAGTTAGGGAATCAGTCAACATTTATTATTTCATCGCTTGATAGAATCAAAAATTTTTAAATATAACTTTCACCCGATCGGTCTGATCCATTACGCTACGTTAACTTTCACTTGTTTACTTTTTCTATTTCTTTGCGATACCAACTTTTTAATATTTGTTTCGATGAAATAAGTTTAATTAAATTAAATCTAGTCTTAAGGCTTTTTATTTTAATGGTGAATAAGAGAGCGTATGGATTAAATTTTCAATTAAATTGGCTTATGACAGTTAGTGGATTTAAAATAAAATGCTAAAATTGTAGTTATTGATTTTAACCGCATACTTTTTTATAATTGAATTTTATTTAACTATTACTAATGAAATAAAACTATAATTGATATTATTTATATAATTAACTACTTATTTCCAAATTGTTCGTCTTTGACGGAAAAAAAAGAGAACGTAATTAACTGGTCTGGTGATCATGTATTGATGTTTAAAATAAAATTCCTCCTTGTATAATCAAAGAAAAATTTATATTTTAATTGTTAAAATTTGTTATTGTATTTCTTAGAATTCAGAATAAGTACCTAATTGTAGGTGGGTACTGTATTATTAAAGTTCAACACTCTCCCATCCCCCCTCCTCCCAAAAAAAAGGAATAGTACCTAATTTTTATTTAACTTATTTCAATGAAGGTTGTGAAGGTTATGAAATATGAGATTTATTTGTTTGTATTTCATAAAATTTAAACGTACTAAAGAAGATTGAAGATTTGAAATATTAAAAGACAGTATATTATGGATAGGGCTGCAAGTTTGTCATGGGAAAAATGACCCGAAATTAACTGGAAATTTTAAAAATAATGCAAATTCTAAACACAAAAAAAAATTTATTATATAAATGACGTAAAAGTCAGAAATTGTGCAAATAAGAAAAACAAAAGCCTAAAAAATACTCAACAAAAGTATTTCTTTTCATTTCAGGCAATTTTAATATTTTTATTTAAAAGAACAGAATTTGCGTACCAAGTATTGTACATTGTCAGATTATTCTAATTTATGCTTCGTCGTTTATCACTTAATACTTTTTTATACTTTGAAAACGATCTTTCTGCGTCTACACTGTAGGCACTGACAAACATCAAATTGCCACTGTGGCCAATTTTGGATAGTGTTTGACCTTCGATTTCTAAACTGGAATAATATCAATGTGCAATTTCTTCACTGTTGCCTTGTAAGAATTAAATTCACTTATTAATTCTTTGTCTCCACAAACATCGGGATATGTTCACAAACTGAAGAATTGTCCTCTTCATTCAAAACACTGAAATGTTTATATTGATTGGGATAAAAAACGCAGCATCCTTTAAAAAAAAAAAAAAAATCTTGAGACTGGTTGGAAAAATCTCTGTTTATCACTGCTGCTTTAAAAAAAAAAAAATTTATTTTGAATTTTTTCTTGGCGCACTCTTAGAGCATTTAAGTGCTCACAGCATCCAATACGTTCGCGAAATCGAACACTTAATTGTAAACGACGTAAACTAATTCTTTGTTTTTCAAATAGGATGGTTCAAAATTAATGTTGCATATTTTTCAATTTCTTTTAAATCTGTATTCAAATCGGAATCGTGATATTCTTCACAAATTTTGCTTTAAACTGAGTTTCTACTACTTTCTTTCTCCTTATCTAAAGCTCAGCGTACATATCCAAATAATTTACATGGAATAAACAAGCTTCAAACCAGATATTCCATCTAGTTTGCACAGGAGCTGTTGGTAACGCAGCTTTTTTGTCTCTTTCCATCAAAATTAGATCGAAAGCGACCTTTACGTGAAGAACACTTTGTGAATGCACGCTTGATATGAACTGCAAAGCAATTCAGACTCATTTTGCCATATTTCTCGCAAGACATTTAAACGATGAGCATTGCAAGTAGCATGGACAGGATTTAAATAGACAGCTTTCCTTTCAGGCTTTGTTCATATAAGATGCGTTGTCAGTTACACAAGATGTAAATAGCATTAAAGTGAAGTTTGTAATTTTGGGAACACTGCGTAATTACTTAACTAACAGATTTAAAATTCACACTTTCTTGCACAATACTTGCAAAAAAAATGAAAACAAAGAAAGGTTCAGATCATCGTTTTGCATTTCTACTCATGGAACAGCTAATACGTTTAGAATATATCTGTTTTCAGAGTCTATTGTTTCATCTGTGACAATGCTAACACCAGTGGCAGATGTTAGAACATCTACAACTTGATTTTTGTGAAATTTGTGACTCTTTGGTAGATAGTGGCTTAGTAGGTGACTGGAGCTTGATATGACACCTATGTCTTTGAGTGAATTTTCTAGCGGATTGTTTGTTGCCTCAAAAACACCCGCCTAATCTAGAAATTTCCACAGCACAATGTTGCTCTTGAATTATTATTATTTTTTCAAACAAAGAAGTAATATTTGCTTGAATAACTCTCCATTCACCAGCAATCTATTTTTATCGAATCTTACTTCTAAAATGTTTATCGCAGCTATTTTTTCTTGAGAAATCAACAGGAACATTGCATGTGCTGCAAAATAAAAGGTTTTTCTAACTTCAAAAGTTCCTTTTTTAAACTGTTAGCATCACTCAAAAGCAGTTGCTTTACTCATATGGCCCATATTTTTAACTTGCAAACATGCATTAGCAGGGTTTGATAAAGAAGGGGACTAGCTTTAAAAGTACAAGCTAAGCTTATCCTAGAAAACGTTCTAACTTTCCTGCTATCAGATAAATGAATGAGAAAAGGCTCTAATTATTCCTTTTGTGACAAAGTCATGTGATTATAAACACAAAGGCTTTGTTTTAAAAATATTAAGGAATCCCCCCGTACTATGGTTGGAAAGCTATACCCACTATGCCTGCATTCTATATTCAAACTATTAGTTATAAAAAGCCTTATCTCCCTCTCATCTAAGAAACTTGCCCCTATTTAAGAAATGACAAGAAGCCATGGATGAAAAATTGGCTAGATATGTATAAACGCAGTAGAAATTTCATTGCCCAATGTTATAGCCTATGCAACAATTTTTAAGTCAAAGATTTGATTTATATAACATTTTCCTTTTTTTGTGATTCCAATTTCTTTTGTATTCTTGCTGACTTCAGGAAGGTAATCCTAAGCTGTCAATCACCCTCCCTAAGTGTAGAAAGACCCAGGGCTAAAGAGAATAGAAGGGCTGGTTCACTCCTTTGAGGAAACTCTCGCCGCGCCAATCCTCCGATTTTTTCTAGTGACGTCACTTTGGCGCAAAGCTCGCACTTTTACTTCAAGAACAGAGCGTTCGGCCTTACTAGCTCTAACTAATATTGGAGCATTTCTTTTTGTGACATATTCCAAGACATTTGTTATGTTCTATAATGACTTTCCTCAGATTTTGCAGTGAATTTATAAAATTTTAAAACTATTATCGAAATGCCAGTTTGCGCGATTGCAACTTGAAAAAATTCTGATAGATAAACAAAAGGAAAAAATATAATTTTCCGCGTGTTCCCTAAAGTAAATGAACAACTATGTAAAGAATGAATTCCGAAATGACACAGTTAATATAAAACAGCAATACGTTTTTTCTATCATTACGAACTTTTATAAAAATTCGTTATCTAAATAGAAACCGCCTCGTTACTTCAAAATGAAAGGCATGTAAAAAAAATTAAAAAATGGATAAAGTCAAAGAAAATTTAAACGTAAGTAAAAAGTATAAATAAAATATATAGTGTACAGTTGAAATTCTCCTAATTTCATAATTTATTTTTTTAATGTAGTTATTCTAAATATTTATAATTCTTTTAAAAATTATATTCTCTTGAATTTAAATATCTATAAATTATATAATCTTTAATTTCAATATCTATAAACAATTGTAAAATTTCTAATGTCATTATGAATGTAAATTATTATTTTGTTTCAGTAATTAGCATTTAAGGTTGATGTTTCCTAATGATTAAGTATGAACAAATTGCTATTAACGGCATATTTTAAAATCGGGGATTCTAAATTTAACTCAACTTATTGTTATAAAAGAATATGTAGATAAAAATGTGTCGATATATGCTTCCATTTTTCTTAATAATTAAAGTTAAAACTGAACTTTTTAAAATAAAGTATTTATAGAGTCATTTTCGCCAACTAGTAAAATAAGTTTAAACTGGTATTTTTTTTAATATAATGGCCAAGAAAAATTTTTTAAGCTATGTTTATGAATGGAAATAATGTGTTAATTACGTAAAGTTTGAGAGCTAATAACCAGAAAAAGTCTAACTTATTTTTACAAAGAGAAAGATGCAAAGTTATCATAATATCTTTGCGTACGATCTTCCGAGATCTGTGGACACAGTGACGTCATGAGGAGGGATATCGTAGCTCCAGCTCTAAGAGCAGAGTGAACTAGCCCTTCTATTCTCTTTAGCCCTGAGAAAGACCACCTTACTTGACAAGATTATCTCTAAACTATTTTCTTGTCATTTTTTATTAATTCTACTCCCATACATCAATTGTGAATGTTTCAGAAAAGTAAAAAATTGTGTTAAATAAGAATAATAAATTAAGGAATTCAAATTTTAAGCAGTTTTCACACAAATGAAAACATATTGAGAAATTCACAGATTTTGGACGGGGAAAGAACAATTTTGCGATGCGCCAGACCTGCAGCCCTAATTATGGAGATGGGGTTATGTAGTCATATAAAGGTTTATCTGAATTATGTTAAATTCGCAAATTTTAATACAGCTGAAAAGTTGTAGGTTCAAGATACTTAAAATGAAGTCAATAAAAACAAATTCATCATTTTTTAAAATCAACAGCAATTCATACTTGCCTATTCAGGACACAGAAACTTGTGCATGCCTTACTGTGTGTAAAAATTTTTATAATACCACTAGTTGAAAAAGAATGAATTAAACTATAAAAAATTTCTTTGTCAACTTTTTTCTCAAAATTCCAAATGTTCCTTTAGAATTTTTTAGGTGAGTAACAAAAAATTTTATAATGATATACAAAAATATCAAGTTTAGGAGTTGTGAATTTTAAAATAAAATTTATCAAATTATACATTGTATATGATAAGATTTTGACTTTTCTTATAAACAGGGACTGACAAAATTTGTAAAATTTTTGGGCCCAGTCTTAAGAACAAGAGTCTATAATTGTGATTTTATCTCATTTACTGCAAATTTTAAAAAAATATCCTCTCATAGACATATTAGACCATTTTTTAGTGATCTGGGTCGTATCTATCTTTTGACAGTGAAAATGTTAAATATTAAATTTAATAAAATCAAATAAATATCAATTCAGCATTAATTGTATAAACACAAACCAGTGTATTTCTATGACAGAATAGGTAAATCTTTCAAAGGTATTTGCACTCTATAACTCTCATTGAGAGTCTTATTCCTAATTTATCACTCTAAGTGACAGTGATCATAAAATATATTAACAGTTACGGTTATTAATTAAATTGATGTTATTTATTAATTCAGCAAGACTTAGTCTAAGCCTAGAATGAATATATAAGAAAAAACTAAATAAAATCCTGAATAAAAGACATTTTTATTTTGTATTTTACAACTCAGTCAGCATGCATCTCAAATGAAATAAAAATTGAGTTCATTTGTGATTTTTTCTTACCAAATATATTCTATATTAATATTTCTTAATCTGTTTTTAGGAAACTTAAGTTGCATAAAAAAAGCCAATTACCATCTCCTGAAGTTCCCTTACCAGGTGTTTCCATATTAAAGCCTTTGACTGGAGTAGACAATAATTTGTACACAAATTTGGAATCATTTTTTACAATGAACTATCCAAAAGTAAGTGGTTATTTAAAAAAATTAATATATAATTTTTTCTTTCTGGGTCATTCTACAGTATTTAACTAATATATATATATATATGTAAACTTAATTAAAAAGAAAATATTGACTTAACAATGTGTTAACATAATTTAATTCATAAATACACAACTTGTGGTTCATAAAGCTTATTGTGGCTCTTGAACTATCTTAAATGTTAATAAAATAAAAATGTTAAAGTAAAATTAAAAAAATGTATAGTAGTACAGTACAGAACCCGTTATCCGGAAATCGGAAAACCAGAAAACGGGAACAAAATTCGATAGATTTTCCCACCATTTTTTTTAAAAATATTTTTTCCTCATAAGATTTTAGAATTTTTCTTTCTTTTTTGAAAGATGTTTACCTTACCATCATCTTGGAAATAATCATTAGTGTATTACTTTATTGTTTTTTCTTTTCAAGATTATTTCCAAATATTTTTTTTTTAGTTGGGTTTAACAATAAAAAAAAAACAGCTTTCCGAAAAATCAGTCATCCGGAATAGAGATGGTCCCGATCGTTACGGATAATCAGTTCCCTACCAGTATTATCCAGAAAACTTAAAAATAAAAAATAAAAAAAAAAACGAAATCAATACATTTTCCCGCCACTTTTTTTAAAAAATGTTTTTTTCCTCATAAGATTTTAGGATTTTTCTTTCTTTTTTGAAAGCTGTTAACCTTGCCATCATATTGGAAATAATCATTAGTGTATTACTTCATCGTTTTTTCCTCTTTTTAAGATTATTTCCAAATATATATATATTTCTTTTAGTTGGGTTTAACAATAAAAGAAACTGCTTTTTGTAGCGATTCAGAAAACCGGAAAAATCAGTTATCCGGAATAGCGATGGTCCCGATCGTTCCGTATAATCGGTTCCCTACTGTATAATGATTTTCAACTGTAACATGTTATTGATTTTTATTTTTAGAAAAATATATATATATATATTTTAAAATTTAAATTGCAATGACAATTATCTCACCAGTCTGATACTGTTTAATAAATTTTGTTTTCTAAGTAATAGTTAAAATAAGCAGAGTTCTCTCCCTAGGAATGAAAAAGGGCAGGATGCTTCCCCTGTAAAAAAGGTGTTTTGAGCTTAAGAGCACTCACTTAACATTGTAAATATTTATCAAAATATTATGTGATAACTGAATTACCTTCTCATACTATTGAAAGAGTAATTCTCTCTCTCTCATCAAAATATTAGAAAAATTTGTAGTTTATAAAAATAGTTAAAGGCAATCTCTTCGAACATTTTTATTCCTTAAAAAAAAATAAAAGAATTCTCCTCCTTATATATAACAAATATTGAGTAATAGAATAATATGTTGAAAGAGTTAGTCCCCAAGGGAATTTTTGCATTTCCTGGATTTGTTGGTTTCTAAAAATCACTTAGGGTGACCCGGTGTAATTCATGATCACTCTGTTTCTGGGGTAAATAATGATCACCTAAGTTTTATTCAAAAAAAAAAAAATTATTTCTAAATTTGAGACATGTACAAGAATGCTTGTATGCTTTACTAAAGTATAACTACATTTACTTAATAATAGTTTTTTATTTAATCTAACAAAATAAGTACCTATATTTTAAACTGCTTTCTGTATTTTCCATTTCAAAGATGGGTTTCAAAATGTGCACATTTCTGCAAAGATCCCCCTCCTTCTCTTAATAATAAATATTTTGAGTTACTTTCTTTTTCTTTGATATAAAAATAGTGTAAGCTTTTGTTTAATTGTTTCACATCTACTGTAAGCATTATAATTGATTATAGGAAACTTGCCCCCCTACAGATGGGGTAATTATTGATCACTGGGGTAATTCCTGATCATTGTCATTTCTTCTTATAAATAGTATAAAAAATAGCTAATAAATAGCCAATTGTCTTTTCTTAAATAATAGTTCATATTTATTAAGTGGAACAACTATAAAATATATTCTAACTGTAATCATAAAATTTGTTTTTAACTGTATACAAGACAAATGTGTTCAGATTTGCACCATTTCTGGTTTGTCTTACCTTGCTTCGATCTTAATTTTATGTGTGTGCATTGTTACAATAGTTTTTAAGTTTATGAATTAGCCTAATATAAATATGGTGAGAAATTATAAGCCTAAAAAGGATACTAAGCTATAACAAAGGGAAGCAAAATGAGTGAATTTTCTGTAATGATTGAAAATGAAAATTTCAGTGTGACAGTTGCTGCCAGAGCTGTTGACATACTTTACTTAACTTTACACTCTCACATAATGAAGTTGAAAAATCCAGCAAAAGTAACCCGTGTGGGAACTCTTTGTTATATTCCAGCAGAACATAAGAATGAGTTGGATGCTTTCCTAAAATGTATGGCACGATGCGAAGATTTTTGGAAAATTTAAAGTGTTAATCTTTATTCCTGCTTTTAAATAAATCGTTTTATTAGCGGCTTAAACATATCTTTTTGGTTTATTTATTTGATCTTGATGTCTTATTTGTTAATTATCATTTTATAATTATTTTTGAACAGCCCCTTAACTACTGATCAGTAATTACCCCAGAAGTGATCAAGAGAAGGGGTACTTCCTGATCACTAAAAATTTAAAATCTTTTAAATTCTAATTAGATTTTCAAACAAACGAAGGTAGCATAGGATTCATCTCATATAGCCTCAAACTTCCTAGATGAAAACCATCATCCTAACATCTTTGCTTTTCTTCGCACTATTGGTATTTTAAACAGTATATAAGAAATTTATCAAGTTTTATCCACATATAAAAATACTTGCATTTTCACTGTTTTAAAATTCTCATCATTTTTACTATACTTATTGTGTAATTGTACTCTATTCTACCTTTTAATGTTTTTAAAACCGTGTGTCTGGCGCAGCATGTCCTCTCTGGACCTTGTGCCATTAAATCTTACATTCAATTCAATTCAATTCCTCAAACTTCCAGTAAATATTAAAATTCTATCTTGAATAGTTTTTTCACGAAATAGATGTTTGCATTTTTTGATCAGGAATTACCCCAGGTCACCCTATATCAACAAAAAAAATATCTTAGGTTATTTTTCTTTTCTTTCCGTGAACATTTTATGAATTTCACATTTATGAGAAGTGTTTTAATCTTTGTGCTTCTATGGGAAAAATGCAATCTTATTATTTTTTGGACAAATGCTAGTTTTAGCTTAGCAGTCGCATTTTGCAACAGTGTTGTAAGTTTGCTCTTGCCCCTTGTATAAATAACTAGTTAATAATGATTGATGTTTTGCCATATAATACACAATATTTATAGTGGTCAGAGGTGGTACTCTTAAATTTTTAAAGTTTATTTACATTTCATTAATTTTCATATTTGAAGTTAACAATTTAAATATTTTTAAGTTACAAAGACATAGCTGCCTACTCTACAAGTTTTTCCAGTAGACTACAGGATTTTATCAGTTTCTCTTGTGCTACTAGTTTAATAAAAATTCTCCTGGTTTTTGTAAATTTTTTAAAGTTCCCTAAAATTGAGTAAGCTTCCTAAAAAAAATCCCTATTGAAATAAAAATTTTACACAGATTATTACTTGCTTGAATATTTCAATAAGTGTTTATTAATACATTATGAAGCAAGCCTCATTTATAAAAATCAATTTAAAACTTTTTTGCTCTAAGCTCTAAAATTTTGACTTTTCAAAACTCCCTTTTTTAATTAATTAAAAATCTTTTAACTATTTTTGATGAATTAAATGTGTATCACTATTTAAAATTATGAGTAAACAAAAAGCTTAACATTTCAAGTTTATTCAATGTTAATCATGAAAAGAAAATGTTGCAACTATAAAATTCCTTATGTGTTCATTTTGCAACAATTATCCTGAGATTTATATTTTGTAAAATCTACTGGATTTTTCCCCATCCTTGTTGGCAGCTATGCAAAGAAAAACTTATGTAGCTTACACAGGGCCGGATTATACCTTTCGTAGGCCCTAGGCATAGCCGTTTTTGCCCCCCCCCCCATTCCTCCCCTCTTTCCCCGCTAAAATTTTCTTGCATATTTTTTTTTAAACATTTTTATTAATATGGGTTTTAATTTACGAATTTGTTTATCCAACTTTATCTGCAATACCGACATACTGCCGATATTGCAGTTGATATCGATAATACCATTTTTTGGTGAAAATTTACTCTTCCGATTTAGAGGAAAACTTTGTAGATGAATTTTTACTATTTTCAAATTTGTATGAGCATAAATCTGCACAAGAAATGTTGAAGGCTCAAATTAAAGATAAACTTGTGAATACTTTTCCTAACGTTCACATTGCATTAAGAATATATTTGTCGATTCTTGGATCAAATGCAGAAGGAGAAAGATCTTTCTCCAGATTAAAATTTATAAAAAATTATTTGCGTTCAACAATGAATCAAGATCGTTTGGCATCTCTCGCACTTATGTCTATTGAATACGACATTTTGCGTAGTTTGGAATTCGACATCATAATACAAGATTTCGTTGAATCCAAAAATCGCAAAAAAGTAATATATTAGATCATAAGATTCTGCAAAATAATTTATTACCGAAAAATATTATATTTTTATTTGTATCTTCATAATTTTGTGCAAAATACACTTGTTTTTAAAGCTAAATTATTTTGGTCAATAAATTTTTTTCTCCCAAGTTTTTCGTAGGCCCCTGAATTTCGTAGGCCCTAGGCACGTGCCTAGTGTGCCTATAGGATAATCCGGCCGTGAGCTTACACATTAATGTCTTTATGCCACTGAAACAAAATTCAATCAAACTACTGGTTTCCTCTCAATTGATTAGAAAAAATGTCTGTTTCCTGACTCAAGTGAAACATTTTGAAGTTTTTTATATGATATGATAGTTTGGCTTTGAAACTATCATAGAAATAAGTTTGATAGACTTATTTCTGACCAATTAGATAATCTGTATAAAGGCAATTGTAAATAGAAACCAAGGGGAGAGAAACTTGGTTATATTTTTTAAGT